CTCATCTATTGCCGCCATGCACCAGAGGTCCAAACCAGCCACGCAAGCACCAACATCCGACGTGGCACGCCACGGTGAAAATGAATGCTTTATGAGCCACATTCTAAAACCCTCACACTTTTTGAGGACGCCGCTTTTATAGAGAGGAAGGGGAACGGAGGGTGAAGGTGATGATACCAGGCGTTAGATGGGAAAAGAGCACCGGCCGTGACCTCGCTGAAGGGAAGGGCCACGGCCGTCCTGGCTATGAGATTAGCAACACCGCGTGCTCGATGACTCCGGCCATCACGGATCGAGGTGGATCCCAAGATTGCGTGCTCATGAGTATTCGACCGTCATCACGAATCGCGGTGGATCCCAACACCGTGCTCCGTGAGCTTTGGCCGAGCCTTAACGACGACAGAAGCCGTTGGAACCGGCCGCTCATCTAGCTAGCACCGCGGTCAGCGACGTTACTGCTACCGTCATCGCCTCCTTGGTCAGCGCCCCCCGAAAGCTGCTAAGATGATAGCCTCCTTGGTCTATTAAAACGATGCCGTGATGGCTCTGTACGGCGGAATGCTTGGTAGGGAACCTATAGGAGCTCCGTGCACCGACCCTCGGGCCTTCACACCACCGCATCGCCACCGAGCAGCAGGAGGTCCCGTCCCCGGGCGTGAACTCGCGCTCCGTTTCCACGGCGTGGAGGGCCTGCGTGGCCTCATGCGTGGCCACGTGCACATGGCCGCCACGTTCGAGGCCTTGGTTGGAGCCCCTTGCCGTCACTTCCTCCGTGCCCTTGAGCCATCGATCTCCTCATTGGCGCCATGTGCGAGAGAGGTGGTCGCCTCGCCCATCGCCGCCTCCCGGCTTGTTAGCTTGCACGTGAGCATGTACGTGCAAATACATATGCACCTGCATGCATGTAGCTCAACTTTGGCGCGTCGTGTGTGTGACGGGTTGATGGCGTGCGTGTTGACAGTTGAGCCGGTCGACCCCGCACCCCCTGTGCATTCTGTTGTAGGCCTCGAGTAGATGCATCTTGCATCTCCGGTGGTTCTAAAGAGATCAACTTTCCGGTGTGACGATCCATTCCTTCTCCTTGCTCCTAGATAGATGGCGCCAAGCATGAGCTTCACGCGTGGCCATGGCAGCCTCGACTTGGATGTTTTGCCGAATGGGAAGAAAGAAGGAGCATGCAGCGGTATGCGCATCTGTGAAGCTCTTGTCCGACCAAGACACTCTCTTGCGGTGAAACGCGTTCGTGCTTCGCGTTTCGACCGAGGCAAAGACCTGAGCGTAATCGGCAGAAGCAGGCAGTTGAGGCACCGCACCTCCCCGCACCTAGTTAGGCTGGCGGCATCCGAGGACGCGAGGTCGGCCAAAGATGGCCATGGCCCACTCCACGGATGTCCCGCCACCACCGGCGGCGAGTGAGATGAAAGCAAAGACCGCCACCACAAAGGTTGTGGTTATGGAGGACGCAGAGGTTAAACGCCGGGCGAGCATCGAACGCAATCTAGGGCTGCGACGTTGAAGCTGTGGGGTGTCAGGAGGAGATTGGGTAGAGAGAGGATGGACTTGGGGTGATGAAAGAAAAAAGAAAGCGGGGGTTTTTTAGAATGTGGCACGGGCCCCAGTGTTCAGCTACCATCGTGGTGTGCCACGTCGGATGTTGGTGCTTGCGTGGCTAGTTTTGGACCTCTTGTGCACGGCGGCAATAGATGAGGGACCTAGATAGTCACTTTTTTTTGTTTGAGGGCGCAGATGGGAATGCCCTAAAAGTTTAAGGAGCCAGGGTGCATTTTACTCTAAATAGTTTCCAAACATATCAGCATAGATCTTGCTGGTAGATCTCGTCGTAAGGAACGTAACGATGCAATTGGATTTGAAAATAAATGCTTTATGAGAAGGTTAGAGCGTTTAAACAAAATTGATCAAATCCCATTATAATGATATCAGTCGTTAGATGGGAAAGCGACATTTGCTGTTTTGCTGGCCACACCGTTTTAGTTTCCCATCAACACAAAAGAGATGACTCTGATCAGGGGCGGGCCCACCTTAATTCAAGGGTATTCAACTGAATACCCAAAATTTTGGACCAAAAAAATTATACATATAGTCCATATATGTATATGTATCAGAAAAAATAAAGAAAATGGTGTTTTTTAGGAAAAGAAAATGGTATTAAAACGAGTATTCTGTACAGAATGCGGCCCAAAATCTAATTTCTTACCCATTACCCTTCCCCACCCGACGGCCCACGAAGGCCTAGCGCGGGCTCGTGGCCACACACCCGGCCTTCCTTCTTTTGCTCAAAAAAAAAAAACCCCCGGCCTTGCTTCTGTCCGAAATCCCTCCCTCCCTCCCTCCAGTTCAGCAGTTTTCGTTCAAAGAGCACCCGTTCCCCTCCTATTTCTCTGTGTTTATATTATGCTGTGTGTATGCATATACTGATTAATAGAACGGTTTCTCGATACGTTATCAGCACGAGTTCTATCGAGCTGAAAGGTAAGAGGTGAGAAATCAACCTCTATTGATCTATTATTCTCGTACTACTCAGACAAGCACAAGAATACTGCTTATGAGAATAAACATGAGCACGGTATCTGTGGATGTGGATGCGTGTAGCACCACGGTATCACGATTGGCCCCGAAGTGCCATTCTGCCTCACCGGCCCAGAAGTGTCGAGTTTATACATTTCGGTCTCAAAGTGCCGAACACCAATGTCCGGAGACGGACATGTGCTGGAAGCACGAGGACAACAACCAACAGGGCCTAGAATTGTCGTTGCAGAGTGCAGAGGTTAAACACCAAAATCATATCGAACGCACGTGCGCTGCGACCGAAGGCAGCGCGGGGGACACGTGTTGGCGTATGATTGGCGGGTGCGACATCAAATACCACCATCTTCCTCAGGTCCGTCATAAGTGCTTGTTGAGGTTAGGGCAGGAGATCTGTGGCTTTAGAAAAAGAGGGGCCCGAGGACGGTGGCCGGATCAGCGATCGTTGTGGTTCGTCCAGTGGTGAGTGAGACGGCGAGGTGCCGTCGAGCGAGCAGCTGCTGGGGCAAAGGACCGGCATGTTCCTCCTCCGGTTGAGTTTACAATTATGGCCTTCCTATTACGATAGCTTGCACAGCAACAGTTTGGCCCAACAAAAAATGATTTGTTGGCCGGCCGCTGGACAGTGGGCATCATTTTGTTTTGTCAATCCCAATTCGCAGCAGTTAGGTCTCGGTCTGCTCATCCCCTACCGTCGCCATCGCCCTGATGCCGTATCGGCTACCGGCCGCGTATCACGAGCGATCGACATCAAGCGTGAGGAACTAACGGCAACCTGAACCTGCAGCGACTAGTAGACCACATTTTTTAGCTTGGTACAGGGCCTTGAATTTTTCCAGGACGGCCCTGCAACTAGGGGCATGGGCTGCAGCTTTCTGGGAAGAATAAGAAGGGGAGGTAGAAGATGAGGAACTGCACGTCACTGCATTTAACAACGCACACACGCGATGAGTAAGAGGCTCGGGTTAAACCCCTATACCACACGAAGTAGCCATGAGCACGTGACCAGAAGCGTCACAACACTTAGCAACACCAAGTGGCGGCCTTAAGTCCGCACTCCAAATCACAGCCTGCGGCCCAATTTGAACGCAGCTCACATATGTACAAAATAGAGGGGTTGGTCTCATCCTGTAGGAAACCTTTTCCACACACAAATTTAGAAGTTTCCACGAGGTCAAATGAGCTTTAAAGAATATAAAATTGGACTTGGACAGTTGGACAGCCAAAACCGGCTGTATGTCCAAAGTTTGGAGCTGATTTTACAAGTTCAAAACTTGCGATTTTTGGAAACAAGAAAAGAGCAAAAAGGTAAAATTTGGAGCTTCTGCACGTGTTTTCCAAGCCATTTCCAAGCCATCTTTAACTCTCCGATCATATTTTCAGTCGTCAACAAATAGCTCACCACATTTATATGGCTCAAATTCAAAGGAATATATCCATCAAATCCTTGGACAAAAGATATCCAACATATCATTCCACATAAGATGTCTTATATGCACCATTTTTCAGCGTTTAAGATCTAACAAACAGAATATCACTGGATTAAAGTTTAGTGACCAGTGAGCTACTGAAGCTTGGGTGCCTGTTTAGTTCTTAAAATTTTATAAAATTTTTTAAGATTCTTCGTCACATCGAATCTTTGGACGCATGCATGAAGTATTAAATATAAATAAAAAATAAAACTAATTACACAGTTTAGACGAAATTCACGAGACAAATCTTTTAAGCCTAATTAGATTATGATTGAACACTAATTATCAAATAACAACGAAATTGCTAAAGTATTATTTTCAAAAAAAAATTTGCAAACTACACAAGGCCCATGGCGAGCGGAGCAGACAGGAGTCACCGGGCTAGTGTCAGGCCTGGAGAGCGAGCTGCACAAGCACATGGCATGGTGTCCAGTCCAGCTGTCCGCTGTCCACTGTCAACAACTTTCGTACAATCGTACCTTATGGGGTGAATGCGTGGTGGTGTGTGAAGTCGGTAAGGGCTTTTTTAAACGTAGGGTTTAAAATTTTAGGGTGTGATATTAGATGTCGTGTGGATGGGGTATTTGATACTAATAAAAAATAAATTACAAAATTCGTTGATAATCTACGAGACAAATTTATTTAGCCTAATTAATCTATCATTAACACATGTGTTACCGTAGCATCACATTGTCAAATGGACTAATTAGGCTTAAAAGATTTATCTCATAAATTAGTCGTAAACTATATAATTAATTATTTTTTAGCTTATATTTAATACTCAATACTTACATGGATAGCAAGTAAACTTTACAGGACCTAAATCATGTGGCTGTGCTGCGTTGGACCATGACTGCTCAGCAAGCTGGTCGATCACATGCTTTCCCCTACATAGTTATGCACAACAGCAGAACACGAGCAGGGCTTGTGAGCGAACAGAGCCAAGATCGAGAGGCGTACCTGCTACGAGAGAGAACATCAATAATGGCGGAGACGGCGATCGCGGCGGTGCTCTCAAAGTTAGGAGGGCTCGCAGCGAGCGAGGCCAAGGTGCTGCTGGAGGTGGGAGACGACATGCTGCTGCTGCGGGACCGGCTGGAGTGGCTGCAGGCCTTCCTCCGCGACGCCGACCACAAGCGGCGCACCGGCGCCGACCGGTTGACCTGCGTGTGGGTGCGTCAGACGCGCGACGTCGCCTTCGAAGCAGAGGACGCCCTCGACGAGTTCTTCCGCAAGGTTCCTTTCCTTCCATCCCCTGCTTGTCGTAATTGTTACTTTATTCCGGCCTGTCTGTGTGGGTTTACGGCTAGTTCTTGATAGTTTTGACTTTTGAACCTTATTCCTGTTTGTAACTCCAGATATAGGAAAAATTCTGACCATGCCTACAACTTCAAATATTTTTGTTTCCAAGTGAAATGTAGCCTGATTTCACTATCATATATCATATCATATATAAATAAAGGATCTACAGAGTCGAGATTATCTAGACAGATAAAAGTAAAAAGAATCAAAATAGAGACTTAAGTTGCTTTCTGGGTCTTTTCTCATCGCATACTTCTAATTTTGAGCTGCATATATATTAGTGTGCAAGATTTAGCTACATCTTATATTACAGCCGGTGGTTTCCAACATTGTTATGAAAAATTGATCTGTTCAGACTTTTTTTGTAATAATATCTACATGAATTTCTGGTGAACAACAGGTTGACCTGGAAAGCATGGGTTACCAACGCTGGATTAAATGGCTCAAAGAATACTTGCTTGGCTGCTGGACCCAAATCATTCTCCGATATGAATTGTCTGGTCGACTCAAAAAAATTAATAGCAGGCTCAATCAAATCTCGGACAACCAAAAGGAATACAAGATCGAGCATACACCATTAGCGACACTGACATCTTCCACTACAGCCACTTCAGCATGGTATGGGAAAGACCTCCTATGTCAATCCTGTAACTATGAATTATCAGTGTTGCACTTTCAAAGAATACAAGGAACTGCTTTTCTTAATTATAACCTTCCATTCCAAAATACTTAAGACAACTTTGATGTTTACTGTTCAAGCAATGACTAATGATATTTAGTCAAGTAAAGTGAGGAAACTATCATTGAACTTGGTGTCAAAAGTACTCTAAGCATGTCATGTATTTCTGGCTATTTGTACAAATATTTACATAAGGACGAACTGCCAAACGTTGAACAGTAACCATAGTTGTCGATTATTCTGAAACAGAGACTGGGAGGCTGCTCTTGTGGTCTGCTGGATCCTCTTAACTGATCTCTGCGTCTAATACAGTGGAAAATGATAGTTCAAATAAATAATAGGTGTGACTGTGTGTAATAAAACACTAGGACTATAAGCATCAACAGATAGGTTATATTTTTAGAAAGTTTTTGGCACTAGTGCACATTTTTCTAATATAAATGAATTAGTTATGAATTTTTAGAGTTTAAACTAGATTTTTATTATTTTTCGATGCAGAAACAAACTCGACAATAGTTGGATGGACAGAAATGGACTTCTCTCTTGTTTTAACACATGCTTTTGTTCTAAGTTTAATTTGCCATTTTACCTAAACACAGAATTTGTTTGCTTTTCCACATATATATTACTGCTTTGCCTATGTGTGGAAATGATGGCACATACTTCTCTTTTGTGTTATCAAAGATACTTCTAGAGACTTGTAATTTGGTGTTAATATGGGATTACATGTTTACTTAAGGGGGTGAGCTTTAAATTGTTCATAGACTTAAAAAATACATTGCACTATATATCCTGCTGTATTGCCCTAGAGGAAGTTAGTCTTAGGTTGCTTTTCAGTATTTGCTTAGATTGCCTACAATATATGTTTTTTTTTTGTGTGCAAGTTTTGCTTTTATGCTTTGTATCCGATTTACCTACATGGATTTTTAGTGGCTTAGTTGGCAATAATTGTTTTGAGGTGTTATTTAGATTGCCTAACACGTTTGGCAAAGTCTTGCTTTAACCTTTTTTACGATGCCTACATGAGAGTTATGGAGAACTTAAAACATGAGGCAGTTTAGTTTTCTGATAAAATTTTGTGCTTTCAATAATTTGGCCAAATGATGTGGGTAAAACTGTTTTTTACATCAAGACAAAGCTGCCTAACCACTGAGTTAATTTTGTCTATAAGCAATGAGTCAATTTGCATTACTAACAGTACTCAATGAACAGGCGGGATGGTTATAAGAACGCTGTGGGTCTTGAAAAAGAAGTGGAGACACTTAAGGAGATGCTGCTTCATAAAGGTCACCTTCAGCTAATGTTCATCTCCATACTTGGGGAGAGCGGTGTGGGAAAGAAAACACTGTCACGTATTCTCCTGCATGATATGAAGAATAATAACCATTTCGAGATTCGAGTTTGGTACAACATGCCGCCGGATTCCACCACAGAACATCTCCTCCAAACAATCTACGAGAGAGCACGCCAAGCCATTTCGCCAACACAAGGAGATCAGCCGGTTCAGGTTCAGGAAGGCTCTTGCGATGATATCACTGGCATGCTCCGTCACCTGCTAGCCAATAAGAAGTATCTGCTGATTATCGTTGGGATATCCTCCAAGACCATGCTCAACTGTGTGAGGGCAAGCCTACCAGATGACAACAATGGAAGTAGGGTAGTGCTCGTATTGGATATCGAGAATGAAGAGGTAGCATGGCACGCTAATGCCATGAACAAGGGCATCAGCGACGGAATCCGCCACTTGAGCCGTTTGGATAAGGAAAAGAGTGTGAAGTTGTTCTGTTCGAGGGCCGTCAGGACAAATCTATCAGATGAAACTACTGGAAACAGCATGATGAGCATGTACAGCGAAGTTGTGTACAATATAACTTGGGGCTACCCTCTGGCTATAGTGGTTTTGGCCGGACTACTACGATTCAAGGAGAAGCCAGGGCAATGGACGGCAGTGCTGCAGCAGCTTAGGTCTGGACCAGCAATGGAAGAAGCACATCAGCAAGACAGCAAAGGCAATCAGATAACAGGACCTGCAATGTTCCAGGAGGATCGTATTGAGGAGAAGATGAGCCCCCCTACAACAGAAGCAGCCAACCTATCCACAAGAACGTCGATTGAGAGGGTCTTCTGGGCAAGCTTCGAAGACCTTCCCAACGACCTCAAGTCATGCTTCCTCTACTTGGCTGCTTTCCCCAAGGACACCTTTCTGTCTACCGACAATATAGTGCGGATGTGGATGGCCGAGGGATTCATCAGGCCACAGAAGGGCAAGACAATCGAGGAGCTGGGTCATGACTATTTCAAGGAGCTGGCCTTGAGATGCCTCGTTCAGGTTTCAGCGATGAACGAGGCTGGCGGCATTAAGAAAGTCATCGTTCACAGGAGGCTCCATGGGTTCCTGCATTCAGAGGCTCGTGAGGCAGGTTTCATTGATGCCCATGACATGCATGACGTCTTTGTTCCACCATCGGTGCGCCGCCTCTCCTTCATGAGTTTTCAAGGTGGATATACCACGTTCACCAACAAGTTCTGTAAGTTGCGTTCTTTCATATGCTGGGCCAAGGAGAAAGATCATCGTCCAAGCAGCAATGGCAGCGGCAGCGGAGGTGTGGACGAAGAGCATTGGCATGATCTCAAGTTTCTGCAGGGTTCAGATTTACTTCGTGTGATCGATGTATGGGGACTAAGGATCAAGGAGTTGCCGAATGAGATTGGCAACAAGATCCAGTTGCGGTACCTTCGTGTAAACAGCGAGCACCTCAAGGAGCTCCCGTCCAGCATTCAGAGGCTGCTCAACCTGCAGACACTGGATATAAGGGATACTGAAGTCGAGGAGATTCACCCGTCCTTCTGGAAGATAAAGACGCTGCGGCATGTGATTGCAAAGAACCTCACGCTTCCATCATCCATCAACGAAGAACTTGGCGAGCTGCAAACGCTACATGGTGTAAAGCCCAGCAAAGGAGAATGGGATCAAGATAACTGTCCACTGCTCAAGATGGCCAAACTCCGGTCACTGGAGCTGCACGGATTCATTGACGCTAGACACGGTGCTGCGCTGAGCACTGCCCTCGGGCAGATGCATCTCCTTGGCCACTTGAAGCTGAAAGGCGATGAGATCTCTTCTTGTGTCTTCACTGGACAGCGCCTTCGATATCTTCAGACTGTAGAGCTGGATGGCACTGTGCAATGGCCGGCTGTTGATGCGTTTAATGGTCTTCGCTTCGTCCGTCCAAACCTAGTTCAGCTCAGCCTGACAAATACAAATGATGCGCCGGAAGACATCCAAGAGGGACTGAGAAAGGCAGGCTTTATCCGCTCCCGCACGCCATTCCAACCAGTGTATCGGCTTTCATACAAACAAGGTGCGGCAAAACTGGAGCAGCAAGGTGAAGCAAGCTCCAGCAAAATGGAACAGCAGCACCAAGGTGAGGAAGCTGAAGAGTGATGTGGTGTCCTGGTTTTTATATCTCTAATTAAATGTTTCTATTTCGTGAAACAATCTGTTTGTATTTTGTTGTAATGACTTGTTTGCTTCGGATCTGTGTATGTTTATGTTCTGTTTGTTGCTGTTGTAATCGTGAACTATTTTGTAAAATAAAAAAGAATGCTTTTGCATTCAGACCATGGGGTAAAATCCTATTCTATCTTGCTATCTGAGAGAGAGCGAGACCGAAGAAAGTTAGTGGAGCATTGTCTTGGAGAAGTCAGTGGCAGAGCTTGTCAATTTTCACGCCTAGGACCATAATAATAAAAAAAATGTGTATACCACTCACGCCGGGTCTAATACCATCCGCACCGGGTCTAATGCGGATAGGTAATAAAATAAACTCATAAATGGATAAGTTTATATTAGATGATACATATCTCAATTCCATGCTTAAATTCACAACATACCTGATGAAAATATGAAATTTGTAAGAAAAAACCTCAATTAATGATGGTTTGGTTCGCCCCTCGCTTCTCATATACCATTTTAATGTTATAATGCTCCCCTTCGTTGTATAATTCTACAATACTAAAAAATATTGACAAAGACACGTACATTCATGAGAAATGTCAAATGGCAAGTGACATGAGGATCCCTGGATTAAGACATTCAACGTCGAAATAAAAATGGGGATTGGGAAATTTATTACCTTCTGTTGCTGCCTTGCTAGAGATCGGAGTTGGGCATGGCTTAAAGTCGTCCTGTCTTGGCTGCAGAGCTGCTGCATCTTGCTTCTATGTGCGTGTGCCGACTGCCGACCGGACCAGCGGCGGCCGCTCCCACGCCATGCCCATGAGCTCGACTGTCCACCTCCAACTTGACGCCCAAAACAGTAGCGCTGCCGTGGCCAGTGGGCAAGGGGACGGCAATGCAACCTGCTCCAATTTGATGCTCCACTGCCAGGTCCCTTCTTGATCAGATGCTCCAGGAGAACGAGAGACTGGGAGAGCGACAGAGGCGGCGGCGCCGCGGCGGCTTGCGAGTCGCAGATGCTCAGCCAGGCCAGCAAGCGCTATTTGCCTTGGGCTATTTGCCTCAGTGGGCTTTCAGCTTGGCCAAAAAATTTAGAAGAGGGTACAAGAGGTTTTCTGGGTCACACCGAGGGCTACAGGACCCTAGCGGCTCTAGGTGCATATCCAGCCTTAGGAATCTGATCAGCCCTCTTAAATCTTGTCTTGCGAAAATTATGTTTTCACGCTCGCGTGGCATTGACCTGCATGTATGGTGAGCGTCTTTGTTGTACTATATAATCTCAAAATAAAACTACCAACTCAGGGGCTACGTCCGATCACCCCTGAACGGACGTGTCCGGTCACGATTTTCTCTCTCTAGATGCTTACTGGATATGACCAGACTCGGCGTGGGCGCAAGTCAGGTCATCTCCTCGGTGCGTCCGGTCATGGCATTGTGAGAGCACGGCTGCACACAATCGAACGTGCCTTGGGAGCGTCAGGTCTCGTCGCTCTGCATCCGATCTTGACTTAACCGCGAGGGTGCTATGAATTGACCGTTGGGATCACACGGTCATCGTTGAATCGAGGGGACACGTGGAAGGTATCCGGTGACCGGACACAGGGGGCCGAGCGTAAGGTCATGTCAACCTACGCATCCGGTCACCCCGAAAATCCATGCAGTGAACGGGTTTTGAGCCTAACGTCTTTGTGGTTGGTTGAGGCTCTATATAAACATGGTAACTGGTTTGGGCTCACTCTCTTGGCCATTTCTATTGAGAGCACACCCTAGTGAGCCTAGCTATTCCTCTCTCACTCATATCGCTTGATTGATTCATCATTGGTGAGATTGGACAGCATTCAAGTGCATTGCTTTAAGTGATTGCATCTAGAAGCACTTAGTGATTGTGTTTCATTGTGGGATTAGCTTGTTTCTCTTGGTGGTTGCCGCCACCTAGACGGCTTGGTGCAGCGAGGATCGTCGAGCGAAGGAAGGTGATTGTCGCCGGCTCCGATCGTGGTGATTGTGAGGGGTTCTTAACCTTTCCCCGACGGAGAGCCAAAAGGCACTCTAGTTGATTGCTCGTGCTTGTGTGATCTCGATCTTGTGTTGGTTATGCGGCACCCGATTGCAGGTTAGGCGTGTGATGCCTATTAGCGCGTGAACCTCTAAGTGGGTGTATCACCACAACGGGGACTAACTTGCCGGCAAGCAAGTGAATCTCGATGAAAAATCATTGTGTCATCCTGTCTTCGAGGATTTCTTTGGTATTCATTGATATATTGTGATTAATCACTTGTTATGGCGGTATAACCCTTCTACCTCTCTTGTGTATTTACATTCCTAGTGTAGTTAAGCTCTTTAGTGTAATTAGTTTTGAGAGCTAGCTTGTATCTTGTCCAGTGGTTAGTGTGCCTCTTTAATTAGTCAGAGCACACTAACTTATTAGTAGTGACTTAGCCTCTTGTGTGACATAGAGATCTTAGATAACTAAAATTATGGATAGGAAGTTTGTATTTTTAGTAGGCTAGTACAGCACTCATTTTATCATTTAATTGTCTAACATCTTGGCTTAAGTGTTGTTGTAGATTTTTTAATAGACTATTCATCTCCCTAGCCATCAGAACCTTTCAAGCGGCAGCATGCGTAAGCGCACAACAGGCGCATGTGGGTGCTTGCAGCAGGTCGCAGGCGTGGCATGCAGCTGCAGCATGCGTGCTGCCAACTACTCCTGTATTTGCTGGTATACACAGTATCCTCAATTGCCAAACCACTCTGGCCTGGTGCTGCATGTCAAAAGCGTGGTGACTTCACTACGCCTTCACGTGGAGCGTGCCAGTTCCACGATTGGACAATATTTGCCAAATAAAAGCATTTATTCATCGGGTTCAAAAAAAGCATGCGAGGCCTAAGATAGGCAGCAGCAAGCAGCATAGCAGCAGTAGGCATATGAGGACACGTGCAGCAGACAGGGCAGGCAGCAGCAGCATGGCAGGACAGGCGAACGTCGCTGCTGCCTTTAAAAATCCGATTCAGGCCCTGGTTTAGCAGTCTTATTTGGTAAATATTGTCCAATCGTGGACCAACTAAGTTCAAAAGACATCTCGTGATTTCCAACTAAACTGCATAATTAGTTATTTTTTACCTACATTTAATGCTCAAAATGCAAAGCTAAAAATTGATGGGCAGGCAGTAAGCAGCATGGCAGGACAGACCGATTCAACACCAAAATGGTACTCATGGCCATCCCACGTCAGGATTCATCCGGTCTGAACGGCCGGACCGGATGCGTCTGCCGAACAGTACACGTGGGAATCACCGAAGCGCGGGAATCACAGAAGTGCGGGAGTCGGAGACATATTTCTATTTGTTTTTATTCTTCTTATTTCTTTATTTTTCTTTTCTTTTTTCTTGTCTTTTTCCTTTCTCTTTCTTTCTTTTTGTGCTTCATTTTTTATTTTGATTTTTTTATGCTTTATGTGATTTTTATTATTCTTTTCATTTTTTATATTTTGTATGTTTCTTTTATTTCTTTTTTATTTTCTTTCCTTTACTTTTTTTTTTTTCTTTTCTTCAATTTATCTTTTATTTCTCATTTCATGTTATTATTATTATTATTTTCATTTTTTATTTTCTATGTTCCATGCACATATGTTTCTTCTTAACATAGGAATTGGTAGTTGGAGTCCTAATCAATGTGCAGCGTCCGGTCTCGCCTCGGCTTCTGCTGTGCGCGCTGAACACTGACCGGACGTAGCACTTGTGAGTCCGATCAACACTAAATCAGTGTCCGGTCAATCATTTGACCCTCCATTCACTTCCGATTCAAAAACCTTCGTGAATGAGGTTGACTTCAATTGATCTTAGGGCTATTCCTAAGCTACCTAATGCTAAGTTTGATATGTGTGCACCACACCTAACCCATTAAACTCATCTAGGTCAAGCTACTAGTTCATACCACCTTAATGGTATGGCCAAAGGAAAAACAAAGTCTTAAACTACTCTAAGTGTCTCTCCAACGCCAAACGACACTTAGAACTAGTTCATCCTTAACCTTGTCGTCTATCCTTTGAAAACCGAAACGATTTCCATCAATAGGGGCATGAAAACCATAATTGCCCAAACAATCATCATGACCATGATCTAACTCAAGTTGCCTCTGCAAAGCACATGTTGGTCACACTAATGTCATGTCGTCATTAATCACCAAAACCCAACTAGGGTCCTAGATGCTTTCAATCTTGCCCTTTTTGGTGATTGATGGCAACACAACCTCGAGTATGTATAAGAGATGAGTGAGGTTTTCAACATACTTGGTTCATATAAGCAATTGATAATAAGAACAAAAGAGGGTTAGGCATGCTTATATGATCCAGACCAACGTAATGTACTCACAAGATATGAAATAAGCATGAGTACACAAAGTAAAGTTCATTTGTATCGGAGTAAAACATGGAAGCAAAGCAAATGAGCATAACGAAATGACATGACAAATTATCAAAGTAGAAAGCACACATGTCACATAAGTTCCACAATCACACATATATCACATACAACACAATGCATGCGAGTAAGCGTGAATGCATGAAGTATCACACACAAAAAAATTGAGTCCATCTCACATGAGAGCACACATGTCACATAAGTTCTACAATCACATATATATCAGATATAACACAATGCATGAGAGTAAGCATGAATGCATGAAGTATCACACACAAAAAATCGAGTCCATCTCACATGCTCCCCCTAAATCTAACATACCCACTCCCTCTTCCCCTTTGGCATCAAACACTAAAACCTAAGGGTCGGATGGCGGGTCAGGAGCAGACGAGTCGGGCGCTGAGGTACGGTGAGAGATCTGAAAGTGAGCTGCATCATCCTCAGACCCTGAACTCTGAGCGGTCTAGGTATGCTTAGTGGACTCAGTGGCTGGGTCGGCCTATGGCTCAGAGGGTGTCACTATAAGAAGTGGAGCCAGAATTGCCACTGTCACTGTCACTAAG